GTCCTAGCTGTGGCACTTCTTTTCTTTTTATGTTCATCTTATTGTTTGTTTTTTTTCCTGGACAGCATCAACACACTTTTCTATACCTGTGAATGTGAAAGCTGTAGGGACCTCATATGCCAAAACCTCCCATAGAAACTTCCTCCTCTACCAGAGTCCATGCCAGCACCCAGATCCCCAGGTAAGACCCTTGCTCATGGAGCACAAACACTACCCCAGAACCAGCCTAGCCTAACCCCAACAGTCCCTCCTTTCCTTAAATCCTATCCAGCCCACACCTCTGGTGGAAGTCCCCTGCTCCACCAGAGGCCATAGCAGTACCCAGATCATCAGAGGTTACTCCAGCTCACACCTCTGTTGAGAGCCCCTTATTCCAGCAAAGGCAAAGCTAGCACACAAGTCCCCAGTTGGCACCCAGAGCCCAGAGGACCCACACTAGACCAGAAGCTACTCTGGCAGATCCACTGCCCCTAACTCAGGTGAAAACCCCAAACTTGGACAGAGGATACCCTGGGGATCAGAAGTCTAGCTCCCAACTTTGGTGGAGGCCCTCTACTCAACCACAGAGCATGCTGGCAAGAAAACCAGAGAGAAAACAGAAATCCAGGAACAAAACACATATCCAACAATGACAAATTCAGAAACTGGCACCTAGACTTATAATCACCCCAAACCCAGAACCTAAACATCAGTGTTAAAGCACAACCAACAACAGCCAAGGCAATACATCACCATCAGAGCCCAGTTTATTGTACTTCAGAAAGCTTTGAATATTCCAACACAGCTGAAGAACAAGAAAACAATCTTGAAACCAATGTTATAATAATAGAGGTCCTTAAAGAAAAAATGAATAAATCTCTTAAAGAAATCAAGAGAAAGACTAAAAAAATTGAAGGACATCAATGAATCTAACAAAGAATGTCAAGATAGCAAAGGAAAAAAAAAGATATAGTTTGGGGAAATGATAAAATTGTTCAAGACCTAAAAATAGAAACAGAAACAATAAAGAAAACAAAAACTGAGGGAATTCTGGAATTGGAAAATCTAGGTAAGTGAACGGTAAACACAGACATAAGTATCACCAACAGAACACAAGATATGGAAGAAAGAATCTCAGGTGTTGAAGAAATGAATACATGGATCAAATGAGAAACAACATCCTCCACAATAACCACAAATAATATAAAATATCTTGGTGTAACTCTAACCAAGCAAATGAAAGACCTGTATAACAAAAACTTTATGTTTTTGAAGAAGAAATCAAAGAAGGTATCAGAAGATGGAAAGATCTCCCATGCTCATGGATAGGTAGGATTAACGTAGCAGAAATGGCCCTCTTACCAAAGGCAATCTACAGAGTCAATGCAATCCCCATCACAATTCCAACACAACTCTAAACAGACCTTGAAAAAAACAATACTCAACTTCCTACAAAAAAAAAAAAAAAAAAAAAAAAGGATAGTCCTGTACAAGAAAAGAACTTCTGGAAGTACCACTATCCCTGATTTCAAGCTGTACTACTGAGATAGAGATAGATAGATAGATAGATAGATAGATAGATAGATAGATAGATAGATACACACACACACACACACACACACACACACACACACACACACACACACACACCCTCGTGGTATTGGCAGAAAAACAGACAGGTTGATCAATGGAATTGAATTGAAGACCCAGAAGTAAATCCACACACCTATGGACACTTGATTTTTGACAAAGAAATCAAAATTATACAATGGGAAAAATCATCTTCAACAAACAGTGTGGATGTCTGCATGTAGAACAATGTAAATAGATCCATCTCGATTACCTTGAACAAAACTCAAGTCCAAATGGATCAAAGACCTCAACATAAAACCAGATACACTGAACTTAATACAAAAGAAAGTGGGGGGAAAGCCTTGAACACATTGGCACAGGAGAAAACTTCCTGAACAGAATACCCAATAGTGCAGGCACTAAAATTGACAACAAATAAATGAGACCTCATGAAACTTAAAATCTTCTGTAAGGAGAAGGACACAGTCAACAAGACAAAATAGCAACCTACAGAATGGGAAAAGATTTCTCCAACCCCACATCTGACAAAGGGCTGAGCAGTCTAAGAGACCTCAGACAGTGGAGCCAGGATGTATCCCTGGTGCACAAAAGGACTTTGCAAACATATCCCCCATGGAGGGATAACTGCCTTATTCTAGAGATAGGAGAGAAGCCCTAGTCCCTACTTCATAGGACCTGTCAGATCTACATGACCCCAACTGGATGGCATTCCCCTACATATGGTATTGTGGTGGGGGGTTGGGAGGGGAGGGTGTTTAGAGTGCATGGGAGAGGGCAGAGAGGGCAAAAGGGAGGGAAGGAGGGAGGGAGGGCTGGAGGGGAGGGAGGGAGGGAGGGAGGGAGGGAGGGAGAGGGAACTGGGATCGACATGTAAAATAATAAATTAAAAAAAAAAAGCTTTGACTCCAAAATTTAAGTTGAAGGACAAGTTACTGGGGAAAAGTATTTCTATTTTTGTTTCCACAGAAAATGAAAACATGTGGATTCCTTCCAGACTAATGTGGTTTGATCACGCCAGACCGCCTGAAACAGAGTACAAGCTGATCCTACATTCCAAACAGCTGGACAAAACAGCCCTGCAGACTACAGCTAGGATATCTGAATCTTCTTCGAATCCTCCAAGACAGCGCCCCTTACCAGCAGGAAGTAGTTTGGAAAGAACGACGCCCAAATTCCCAAATATTGTGTATAAATGTTTGTTTTCATTTAATTGGGCTTTGTTATATAAAATTAAATAAAAATAAATAAATAAAAAAAAGAAATCAAGAAACTAGACATCAACAAACCACATAATTCAATTTCAAAAATGGGGTACAGATCTAAACAGAGAATTCTCAACAGAAGAAACTCAAATGGCTGAGAAGCACTCGAAAAAATGTTCAACCAACATCCTTAGCCATCATGGAAATGCAAATTAAAATGACTCGGATTTTACCTTACACCTGTCAAAATGGCTAAAATCAAAATCTCAAGTAACAGCAGCTCATGCTGGTGAGGATGAAGAGCAACTCCTCCATTGCAGATGGGAGTGCAAACTCGTACAGTCACTATGGAAATCTATATGGAGATTCCTCAGAAAATTAACAACCAATCTACCTCAGGACCCAGCTATACCAGTCTAGGGCATATACCCAAAGGATGCTAAATGGTACCACAAGGACACTTGTTCATAGCAGCATTATTTGTAATAGCCAGAACCTGGAAACAACCTAGATGCCCCTCAAATGAAGGATAGGTAAAGAAGAGGTGCTATGTTTACACAACAGAGTATTACCCAGCTGTTACAAACAATGACATCAGAAAATTTCAAGGCAAAAAATATGGAACTAGAAAAAAAAAAAACTCATCCTGAATGAGGTAATCCAGGTTGTAAATTGGTAATCCAGGTTGTAAGTTATTTCTCCCTGAATAAACATCTATTCGGCCTATTTGTTTATCCTGATCCTTATTTAACAGCGAAACTTTGGGAGTGGCCAACCAATGACTGGTCCAGATTGAGACCAGTGCTATGAGAGGGAGCCCATCACTGATACTGCCTGGATCACCTAGATAGAGACCTAGGATAGAAACAAAATGACTGAAACAATCAATTAAATGATTCCTAATGATGTTCTACTATACTCATAGATCATCAGAGAGGCTTTATCAAGCAACTGAAGGAAACAGATGTAGACCCACAGCCAAACATTAGGCAGAGCTTAGAGAATCCTGCTGAAGAGAGGGAGGAAGGATTGTAGGAGCCAGAGGAGTCAAGGACACAAGAAGAAAACTCACATAATCAACTAACCTGGGCTCATAGGGGCTCACAGAGAATGAAGAGACAACCAGGGAGCCTGCATGGGACTGACCTAGACCCTCTGCATGTATGTGACGTTTGTGTAGCTTGGTGTTCTTGTGGAACTCCAAACAGTGGGAACATGGGTTGTCTCTCTTTTTTAGCATGTAGGAAACTATTTCTCATATTGAGTGGCCTTGTCCAGCCATAATATGAGGGAAAGTGCCTAGTCTTACTGCAACTTAACATGCCATGTTTGGTTGATATCCATGGGAGGTCTACCTTCTTCTGGAAAGAAACAGAGAAGGAGGGGGCAGAGGGGAGGGGATGATTTGGAGGGAGACCTGGAGGGGGTAGGGTCTTGGAGGGGAGGAGAGAGGGGAAACTGGTCAGGTTGTAAAAAATAATAATTTTTATAAAGAAGAAAAGAAAAATGTATAGTGTATGCATTTGTTTTAACCCCTGTGTATTCTAGAAAGTTGTTCCAATGATCTCTCATAAAGAGAGAACAACTCCCATGATATGTCAGCATTTTTGTCTGAGATCATCTCTAGACAGGACAATACATGTAAATTCTGACAAATATATTTTTATTTAATTATTTAATTATTTAATTTTATTTAATTTATTTAATTGTTAATATATTTTTAAAAATCTGGCATATTTAGGTTTTCTCACAGTGATCATGGGGGTTCATTTGGTACTACATCTTACCAATGAAAATTATTTATTTCTTCTCCTATTGCTAGGTGGACCAAGCCAATTCTGCATTCAGTGTTTTCAAAGAAAAGACTTAATTCCCTACCCTATTCTCTCCCTCAAAATAAATTTAAAATCCTTGTCAGGGGCCTCTCTGAGACCCAGGGAGACGCCTCAATTGAGGTCCATCTTGGTGCCTATTTCTTGAGGACATCATAAAGGCAGCATTTACTTCAAGCAACCTTTTGCCATGTCTCCAAACAGCAACAGCCTACTCCTATAGGGTGGACCCACCTCTTTACGCCCACACATACCCCCCACTTCCGCGACTAAACTAGCCACACCCAGGAGCATGTGTACGTGTATTGTGGAACATGCGCAGCATGATGTAACAATTTTCGCTCGGGGAACAGGGAGGCGCTCCACGGTGGGCTCTATCTGCGAAGCTCTAGGGATGGAGAGCACGTTCTTCTACTTCGACCTCGACTATTATGGGGTGGGTTTCTATGAGGAAGAAATAATGACTGAATCTCAACGGAGAGCAGCTGCAGCAGCATCCCGTAGATACTTTGGAAGAGGTGTACGAGTCCTACATGAGCTGGGCGATAATGACTACAGGAACCCTGAATATTACCACTGCTATAAGCATGAAAGGAAGGAAACACGAGCCAGCTCCAGTGAGATTGGAGAGGGAAAGCTGGAGGAGCCTGGGAAAGCAGCTGGAGCAGTTTCGCAGCACCCCAATAAGAGGCATACAAAACACTACAAGTTCACCTATCGGCAACTTCGTGAACTGGACAGGGTTTTCCAAGAAACCCAGTATCCTGATGCACTCCAACGGTATGTACATGATTTTTAACTAATCCACTCTGGTGTCCAGGACTTTAGGCTCCTTGACTCTACCCTGACCTCTGCTACTTCGGTTTTTTGTTGTTGTTGCTGGTTTTTAATACTGTATCCTGCGTACTGAATTCAAAAGCCCTAGAAATGCTAGGCTGATTCTCTTCCCCCAAGTTACACACGGATTCCAGTTTACTTTGTAACTTAAGACAGAGTAAGAATTACTAAAGGTGTCTTTGCCCTCCTCCTAGCCCAAACAGACCTTGAACTTGTGAACTTCAAGTCTTGTCTCACTCTCCTTTGTAGTTTTGTACCTGGGTTGGGCCTCCTTCCCAGGACTCCTTGCCCTGAAACCACAAACTCATAAGCTGAATTTATGGTGGGGGGGGGGGAATGAAGAAGATGGCCTCTGGCGTTAAAGGTTAAACTCTCCATGACCTTTTGAAAAAGAAGCAAGCCCCCAAAATGCACTTGGGTGGCTGTTTATTTCATTTTACAGTTTTCTTTTGAAAGAAACATAAAAACCACTTTCTAAACAAAGACTAAAGTACAGAGCATGCAGTATTCTCAAAATTGTTTTGGGAAGCTTTTCCAGAGTGTTTTAATGATGCTGAAACAAAACTCTGTGTTAATTGGATCTTTGGCCCCCAGGCCCCTCTAGGCTATTGCATTGTTTTGTGTCTTCATCCCGAGTCTGACTGCTTCAACTAGCACACATAAAGGAAATCATGCAGAACTTGCCCTTTTCAGACTACTCTGTGTGTCTTAGCATGTCCTCCATGCTCATCAGGATGCTCCTGCATGTGGCAGAAGTTTTCCTTTCTGGAAGCTAAATATCACAAAGGCAGCTTTGCATAGCTATTCTGATTGCTAGTATCGCCACATGTGAAGAGATATCTGGGTGGGTTTAATCTGTGGCCCACATGAACTGTGCTTTGCTTCTGTGGACAATTACCTCTTTAACTACAAGTTTTAACTCTTTTGTGGTATATACCAAGAAATTGAAATGTAAGGCCTATTAATTCTATGTTTACTGCCCTGAGCAAAATGCAGAATATTATCCACTGCTTTAAACAAATGCAAAATATCATCTACAGGTAGCCTTTTTTCTGGGGAGGTGAGGAATTGCCAGATCCCTGGGGATCACAGTGAATTTGGAACCAGCTACAGATACCGTTTCAAAAACTAAAGTGGGAGCTGAAGAGATGGCTGGTGGGATAAAGGTGCTTAAAACCCAAGCCTGGAGATCTGTTAGTTCTTGCAACCCAACTAGAAAGCCAGATGTACTGATGGGCACCCGAACCCCATCAGTCCTATAGGCAGATGGGAGGCAGACACAGGATAAACCACCACATTATGGTGAGCCAGATAGACCTAATAGGCAGCATAGCCTCAAAAACGACAAGTAAAACCCAACCTCAACAAGGTCAAAAGGAAGAAGAGACTCCCAAATTTACCACCCAGCCTCTACTAGACTGGCCCTTTGACACGCTTGTGCTTTCCATGTGTCTTTGTGTGTGTGTGTGTGTGTGTGTGTACGTGAGAAAGCATGCATGCATGTTTGTGTGTAATATTATGTAAGTGTGTGTGTGTGTGTGTGTGTGTGTGTGTGTGTGTAATTTTTAGAGCAAAGTGAGATTTCCATTCAAGCATGGATTCCTGGATTTAAACCCAATATCCACACAAAGTATGTGCAGCTACACATGAAAAAAATGAATACTGTTATAAACAAATACATATGGTAAAGTCAATTATCAGTATATTTCTAATCTACAGTTTCTTATTAGAATTTATATAAGTATGTGTGTGAGCATGGCACCATACCTACACATGTGACTGTCAGAGGAAAATTTGGGAAAGCCTGTACTTTCCTTCCATCATGTGGGGCCCAGGGATTGAAATCAGGTCTTCAGGAATGTCATCATATTCCTTTACCCACTGAACAATCTCCCTTGGCTATGCTAAGGAGTATTAAAAACTATGTTTGGTGTTTTGACAAGATGAAGTCACTTCTAAAGAAGAGTCCTATCTTTGAAAAATGATGAAGTGACTCTTTGCTGAAATGGGAACAGGGACAGCAAGATAAGAATGTGGAGAAATCATGTATGTTCACTTTCCTTACATCCCCCTCCAAGTGGCAATGGCCGACCTCTTTCCTTTTCTCTCCACAGAAAAGCACTTGCAGAGCTCATTCATGTGGAGGAACGCAAGGTTAAGGTAAGTAGAAGCTCAGCGGGGTACTACATTTTAGACCAGCTTCAGGAGAAGTGTGGCCTTGTCTTCCACACCTGGAGCTTCTGGGTCTTTTATGCCTGCTTTATGCAGGCAAACAAGAGTTGGACTGATTTGTTATTTGGAAGTAGAAAGAGTTTGAAAAAGTGAACCCCTGCTAATGTTTCTTCCACATTTCTGTAAGTAATGGAATATGTTTTCAGGGGGGGGGGTGACAAGGAAACTGGGTTTCCCATTCTTTGTGTGAAAGGAATTGGGTTTATGTGTGTTTAAATATAGCATATGTAGGTATAACTATGATGCATGCATGTCATACAAACCTGCATGTCCCCTAATTAATACTGAACTACGTGTGACAAAAATATCTTCTGCATAGTACTTCTGTCTGGGGTCAAGTTGGAACTCAGGATTGCCATGAAAATATTTATGTGATGGCAGGAATGGCAGAAAGTAGCATTAGTAAGAATTTCAATTGTTACTAAATACTAAATGCATGCACATAGCTAAAAGAATGCATGAATAAATATGGAGCAGGGGATGGCTTGTTTTATACACAGTGGGAAAATAATGTTTAATTAAGGTGGAAAAGATGTGGGATAAGAGTTGAAAAGCCCTTGTGGCTTTCTTTTGTAAGGTTTTAGTAAGATGGCCCTGAATTTAATTGACCCGTTGGTATCCTGTGTCAACTCCAAGATATTTCCCCATTTACTTTAATTATGGAGATGACAAGGACGGACAACTTTGAATGTCTGTCAAAAATACGGCCCTGATAGTGTCCAGAGGTTGTAATGCAGCTCATTTTCCAAAGGCTTCTGCAGAAGAGTCTGGTGCTTTGTGAGCTGAGTCACTTTGATTGATGGGTTAGAGTGGTGGTGGAATGGAAACCAGGATTTCCTGTGCCATGGGTACCACTTCCAGCCTTGAGAAGTTGGTGAGGACTTGCAAACTCTATTCTTCTGTGAAGAGGAGAATGTCAGTCCCATATGAAGTTGCATATGTTTTTCCATCATAATATTAGCTACTCAGTATGATAAACCAGCTCCTATCTTGATCTGATTTCAGGCTTGGTTTAAAAACAAGAGAGCTAAATATAGGAAAATACAGACGGAGTTACTACTCAGCCGTGACGCATCTGGCACCGTAAACAACTTTCCCCTCAAGATGGATGAACATCCTAAGAGTGCTTCTGCTCCCGAGGAACCAATAGGGTTCATCTTGTGCCAGCAACATCTTGGCCAATCCTGCTGGCCATGAAAACATTGTCTTGTTACATCCAATAGCAATAAAGAGTAGATTTTTCAAAACACTAGTTGCATTTTTCATCTTGTTTCCATAGAATGGAATAACTTTTCGTTCAACTTCCTGCTAAATTGAGGCCAGAAGAGAAGCCCAATGCTTGAACAAAAAAATGACCTCTCTGCTACAGCAGAATAAGGGGATATGGTGATCACACACCTATTATATGCGGTTAAGAGCACTGGCTGTTCTTCCAGAAGACTCAGGTTCAATTCCCAGCACCCACATGGCAGCTCATAACTGTAACACCAGTTCCAGGAGATCTGACATACATGGGAGCAAAACACCAATGTACATAAAATAAAAAATAAAAAATAAATATTAAAAGAAGATGACTTATTTTTTTAAAAAAAAAAATAATTTACTTGTAGAAACCTTGCAACAACAGCCACCTTTGCCTGTCTGAGAGCTGCTGCAAAGTGGGGAGACAGGGGCTGGAGTGTTTAAAGACACAAACCACAACTATCATAACTCTGGGGGTGTTCCTGCTATGTAAGGCATTAGGATGGTTTTATGTTTTCTTTTTTGTGTGTTTTCTGAGTAAGCAGTGGTTAAGCAAGATTACAGAAGCAGAATTAGTGTATGGTTAATATTTTAGGATAACAATTATATAATAATTTCTTGACTTCTTTATATATTTTGGAGATCAACCCTCTGTCAGATGTGGTGTTGGTGAATAACTTTTCCCTTTCTTTGGGATACCATTTTGTCTGCCAACTGTGTGCTTTGCCTTACAGAAGCTTCTCAGTTTCAGGAGGTCCCACTTATTAATTGCCAATCTCAGTGTCTGTGCTACTGGTGTTATGTTCAGGAAGCGGTCTTGTGCCCATGCATTCAAAACTACTTGCTCTTCTATCAGGTTCAATGTAACTGGGTTTATGCTGAGGTCTTTTATACATTTGGACTTGAGTTTTGTGCATGAGGATAGATATGGGTTTATTTATATTTTTCTACATGTCAGCATCCAGTTATGTCAGCACCATTAGTTGAAGATGCTTTCTTTTTTCTGTTGTATGATTTTGGCTTCTTTGTCAATAATCAGTATGCACAATCATACCACAAGGACATGTGTTCAGCTATGTTCATAGCAGCATTATTTGTAATTGCAAGAACCTGAAAGCAACCTAGATGCCCCTCAACTGAAGAATGGATAAAGAAAATGTGGTACATTTATACAATGGAGTACTACTCAGCAGTAAAAAAGCTATGGCGTCTTGAAATTTGTAGGCAAATGGATGGAACTAGGAAAAAAAAAAAACATCCTGAGTGAGGTAACCCAGACCAAGAAAGACAAACATGGTATGTACTCACTCATAAGTGGATATTAGATGCAAAGAAAAGATAACCAGGCTACAATCCACAACCCTAGAGAAGCTGTGTAAAAAGGATGACCCTAAGAGGGAAACACAAGGAAGGCTCCAGGGAGGAGAAATAGTTAATATCTCCTGGGTAAACTGGGAGGGGATGGGGATGGGAACATGAGGCCCAATTGGGTCAGGGAGGAGAGGAAGAGCAATGGAAATGTTATCTTTATAAAGAGAATTATAGGGTTAGGGAGAAACTTGGTGTTAGGGAAATTTCCAGGAATCCACAAGGATGGCCTGAGCAGTAGTGGAGAGGGTACCTGAACTGGCATTCCCCTATAATCAGATTAGTGACTCCCCTATCTGTCATCATAGAACTTTCATCCAGCAACTGATGGAAGCAGATACAGAGATCCACAGCCAAACACAGGGCCAAGCTCTGGGAGTTCAGTTGAAGAGAGGGAGGAGGAATTATATGAGCAAGGAGGGTCAAGACCATGGTGGAGAAAACCACAGAGACCACTGACTAGAGTTGGTGGGAACTAATGGTGGACTATGGACTGACAGATGGGTAACCTTCATGGGACAAAACAAGGCCCTTGATCTGTTGCCGGGGGTTGGGGGTGTTGCAGATAACAGTGGGACCAGAACCTATCCCAGGTGTATGAACCTGTAGTGGGATGCCTTGCTCAGCCTTGATACAGGGGAGGGGCTTGGTCCTGCCTCAGCTTGGTACGCTAGACTTTGTTGACTTCCCAAGGGAGGCCTTACCTCTCTGAAGAATTGATGTGTGGGTGGGATGGAGTAGAGAGGCAGGGGAAGGGGAAGGAGGTTAACTAGGGTTGGTATGTAAAATGGAAAAAATTGAATAAAATTTTAAAAAAGAGTTAAGTTACACGGCTTAGCTTTTTGCCTATGCTTAACAGTCTTTAAGCTAAGAACAAGGTCCTGCTGAGTCCTAGGTTTTCTTTTATTCACACAGTAATTTAGTTGAAACTCAGTTTGTACCGGAACTACTTTTAAACCATACAATGGCGAATGTTGTACAAATTTCTAAAAGTTGCCATGTATTATTATTTTAATTTTATAGAATTTTGTGCTTAGGGCATTTACTGGTTTGTTCTGAACAAATGGAAGATTGTGTAGAGACTGTTAAGAGTTTAGAATGGAGGACACCTTACCTTCCTCAATGCAAGCCCGCTGACCAGCGGGACCTGGTTATTCGTGGGTCGAGGTGGTCTAGAACCTGAAAATAATGGGAGAGAAAGAAGGAATGAGACCAAGCAATGCTTGTCAAGGTCTAACTTTATTAGGCACAAAGAGGAGTTTTTAAAGCAAAGCGGGGAGGAATTTGGGAGGGGTAACTGGGCCAACTCTGGGGCTCTGGTAATGTCACAGGCCACAAACATCAGACTATAAATGTCTGGTTCATCTCAGTTCCTGGGGTGAGTGGAACAGACTGCTTGTTAAGCAGTTTTCTGTTTTACCAAGATAAGGCTCAATTACAGTTTTAAGGTGTAAGTAATTCTGCAAGAGGACGTGACTCAAGGCCAGCTCCCAACAAATGCCCTAGAAATTTCTAGGTATCCCTACCTCCCTGCCTGCACAAACTCTATGTTGGACATTTGTAACCAGACATTGTCTCCCACCCTCCAGTTCCCTAATAACCACTCGGAGGTTTAATAGTAATTACAAACTGTTTGGCCTGTTAGCTCAGGCTTATTATTAATGATCTCTTACAATTAAATTAACCCATTTCTACTAGTCTATATTTTACCATGAGGCTCATGGCTTGTTATCTCACATCTTGCTTCCCCAGCAGCTGTAGGTGTCTGCCCTGACTCCACCCTTTTTCTCCCTGTATCTCTGCTTGGATTTCCTGCCTGGCTCTATGCTGCCTTGCTATTGGCCAAATCAGCTTCTTTTTTACCTTTTTAAATTTAAATTTAAAACAAGGTTGTTTTTAAAATCAGCTTCTTTATTAACTAATGGTAATAAAACATATCCACAGCATACCGAAAAACATCTCACACCAGAAATTTTTCCTGAATGTTATTGGAGCCTGCCTAGCTTTTGTGATCTTCCATTCTGGGATCTTGGAGAGAGTTTACAGAGTTTGCCGGCCATTCTGAAGGAAATTGTGCCTCCCTCCAGCAGGATTTGAGCAGTGTTGAGCCTTGTGAAAGATGGCTGAGAACCATCCCATGCTATTAGAAATGTCAGCTGTGTGCTAAACTGCCCTTCAATTCTTCACTCTGCAGAGTCCTGTGAATGATCCAAAGTGTCAGGATATACCTTCATCAAGGATCTCTAGGCCAGAAACAGATGATGCCAGGAGAAAACAAACAAAATGTCTAAAACATGCACATCTGGGTTAGCTGCAAGATTGTTATCAAAGCTGAGAGATTTTCTCCTCTGATACAATGGCTCCAGGTGTGGATCCTCCAACCCCTCCAGTTGGAATGGGTTGGAGGAATGCTAGTCAGTTAGAGCTCCTGCTACCCTCAGAGTGATAGTAAAGCTTACACAACAGGCCAGCTATTATCAGGGAAATCCTTGGGCAGCCATTAAAGGGCCTGCATGCCCGAGAATGTCAGCCTTAAGACTTTCAGACATAAAGACCTGATCTTGACACTTATTATCAGTCACAGAAAGTATTAGAATGGTCGGCACAGGGATGGCCCTCTTGATTCCATGTGGTGTATGTGTGAACATTGCTCTCCTCCAATTTTTATTTGTTGTGGGTTCCTGTTGCTAAGCCATGCCTGAAAAAAATTGGTGGAAAGGAATTGGTTTAATCTGTGGCCTACCTAGCTAATGTCATTATGGAAACACACACACACACACACACACACACACACACACACACACACACACACACACAAGCAATTCATGTTCCCCTGAGACTGGAATTTGTGGAGGAAGTATAGTTGATGTTTCCACATTGCTTGATCATAATATGAGGCTACTAGTATTGTTTAGGGGTAGGTGTTTTCCTATGGTGTATGAGTATGAGTTCCATCCAGAAAGTCATGGATTAGAATGTGTTACAGCACACTCCTTATCCATTTCTCCCATAGTGGGCACCAGCTGTGGGCCATGACAGAAAATCGGCTGAGTCCATTGTCTCTCTTCCTTTAGTATTTTTGATAGCTTCTACAAGGATTGGATGGCATGCCAACTTACAAGCAGCTCCAAGTCCTTAATTCCATCTCGGTGTCTTATCAGAGGATGACATAAAGTCTGAGTTCTGACATCTGACAATGAACTGTGCACCTGCCCCTTGCAATTCTGTAATCATATATTATTCTTGTTCAGGGGACTGCAAAGGTCTCAGATGTAGTCCTGATGTGGTGTTGAATGTATCGGGGAAGAGTGATCTTGTAAAATCCACCTTTAGGATAAAGTCAATAATGAATAAGAAGGAACCCATGACCTGTTTAGACAGCAAGGTGGCTTAAAGTGCCCAATGGTACCTTAGCCAGCAACCTGGAGCAGACCAGACTCCAACTCCCCTGTTTCCACTCTAGGCCATTTCACTTCTGGAGTCAATAATAATAAGCAGCTAGCTCTTTCCACCCCCTGAGTTTCCGGTTCCTTATTGTGCTCTAGACATATATGTTGTTTTGTGCTGAACATTTGCCTCTTAGACAC